AAGTTCTAATAAAACTATCTTTGTTAAGGCTAGTGATCAATCATCCAAAGAGAAAGTGAACAAACCTAAAGGTTTTCATCACTATCCTAAAAAGAAAACATCTACTAAGAAGAAATCTTATCCTTCTAGATATAGAAGTAATTTTGAACGTACTTGTTTTTATTATGGTATTAAAGGACATACACCTAATGCTTGCTATGTTAGAAACTTTAGTGTGGCAAGTGGACATTATGTGTGGGTAAAGAAAGGTACTAATTATGAAGGACCCAAAGAAACTAGAGTACCTAACAAAAACTAATTTATTTTTTAGGTATGCTTGAAGACCACATGCAATCTTTGGTATCTTGATAGTGGTTGTTCAAAGCATATGACGGGAGACATAAACCAATTTTCAAATCTGGTTCTAAAGGCCAAGGGTTTTGTCACTTATGAAGACAATAATAAGGGAAGAATTTTTGGCAAAGGCAAAGTTGGTGCTCCACCTTTCACATCCATTGAAGATGTTCTTTATGTTTAAGGACTAAAGCACAATCTTCTTAGTATTAGCCAACTTTGTGACAAAGGCTTCAAGATCAAGTTCACCAAAGATGAATGATTGATAGAAGACGAAGTCACACATGAGGTTATACTTAAAGGTAAAAGAGTTAATAATATATTTATGATTTCCCTTGATGATCCATCTTTGAAGGTAAAATGTCTCATGGAGAACAACGATAATTCATGGCTTTGGCACAAAAGAATTGCTCATATTCATATGGAACACTTGAATAAACTAATCAAGCATGATCTTGTCATTGGTGATGAAGGACACAATCAAGAAGAAGGTGGTGAAGATGTACCTCCTCCACCTACTGCTCCCTCTGGTCCAAGTAATCAAGATCTTACGGATTTTATGTCTCAACAATTTGCTTCTATGAATACCAACATTAACAACCAATGGAATGCTATCAACGATTCTACAACAACCCGGATCAATGATTTTCGCACAGATGTGAATAAAAAATTTTCCTACCTTTACTCTCACCTTCACATACCTTCATATGACCCAAATAATCTTGTTGCACGTCCAAAAAATTACACAGAACCTCCTCTACAACAACAATTTCCCAATCAAGGATCTTGGTTCTATAACAACCGTGACATGAAACAACCATAAAGCTCTATCCAACATTGTGATTTCTATTAGTTTTTATTTGTTGTTCTGTTATGCTGTGTTTTGCTTGTTGTTGTTCAAATGCCTTTGTAATTGTTATTGTACTATGACTATGTTTTATGCATGATTAAGTTTCTTTTAATGTTGTTTTATTATTATCCATTTGTATTGCATCTTTCTCTTCTTTTTGATAATGTCAAAGGGGGAGAAGGATGCGGCACTTTATGCTTGTATATTTCCTGTCTTAAATTTCTAAGGTACTCTTCAACCAAGATGAACAAATTCAAAGGATTCCAACCTTCTTATACAAAGGGGGAGTTATGCATCTTAGGGGGAGAAGCTTCTTTCCGGAAATTATAATGTATCAAGCAAGATCGTTTGTCATCATCAAAAATGGGGAGAATGTGAAATCAAGCTTCTCAAATGCAGTTCTGTTTTGATGAAGACAAACCATGTTGACAAGAAGGCAAAGATGATTGGCCAATCTAAAAGCATATACGGATGAAGTCTTTGGTTCAAGCACTTAAAAAATTTCAAGGTATAATGATAATACTTACTTTGAACTTAAGACATAGATACTCAATGGTCAAAAGAAATATTTTATATGGGCCAAATCTTTACTCAAGTTTTTCTAAGCAAAAATTTAATTTTCACTTGAGTGCAATCGATTTGCATATTTGTGCAATCGATTGCATGCTTCAATTTTTCAAAACATTCACTACTGTTTCTAAGTGCAATCGATTTGCATGTTTATGCAATCGATTACTCTCAATCAATTTTTGCCACTGACTTCCAGTGCAATCAATTTTCACACTTGTGCAATTGATTTCACACTCAAAATATTTGAATTTCTAGCTGTTAAAACCCCGTGCAATTGATTTACACAAGGGTGCAATCGATTGCATGCTGAACGATTTTGAAAAACAGCAGCTTCACTCATGCCTGTTCAAAACACCAATTCATGGAAACCTTTCACTCAATCTTGGCAACTGTTCATGATTCATTTGCAGAATTTTTATGTTGTTTCAAAAGGGTGCTATGAATATATAAATACTCATTTTCAAAATCATTTAAATACCTCTTCCAATCATATTTTCTGAATTTTCAAAAATCAAACTCAAACTTTTATAGACTTTCATACACAAGTTTTCTGCACACTTTCACATATTATCTACCAGAAAAATTTGAGCATTATATATCTTGAGTAATTGTATACTATTGTCATTGGAAGAGAAGATCAATTCATTGATTAAATCACTCAAAGTGGTTATTGGTACTCAAACTCACCCAAATTAAATATTGTTATATACTTGCTTATTTTTCAGAATTGTTGGAAATAAGTTCAAGTGGTTTTGTAAATCTTGTTTTTCCAGGATTGTTGGATACAAGTAAATTCACTTTAAGAGGATTGTTCTCATGGTTGACATAGTGAAAATCCAAGAGGATTGTTCTTGGTCCAAGATGATTATTCTTGGTTTTGAGTAGTTCTTGTTTAATTTTGCCACAATAAGGAAATCTCTTCCATATTGAAAGGGGACTGGAGTACTCTCGGTCTGTGAGGGGAACCGGGATATATCGCTTGTGTCTCTTTATTTTTCGGCACTTTACTCTTTCATAAACTCACCATAAACCAGAAAAATATTATCCATCATCACTAAATCGGTAAAACTTTTAAAGTACCTAATTCACCCCCCTCTTAGGCACACTTAATACTTACAAGATTTATATTTCATAAAATAAACTCAGACCTTACGATAAAAATCATCAGTGAATGTCGCAAAGTACTTGAAACCTTCAACAAAAGGCTCTTTTATAGGTCTCAAACATAAAAAAAAGACATATTCTAAGATTCCCTTGGTCTTGTGTTTCCAAATCTTGAAACAAACTCTACATTGTTTCCTAAGAAAAAAAATACTTACACAACCCAATTGTGCAAATAAAAACACCCTTCAGCAAATTTCTCTTATCTAGTTCCATCATTTCAGATTTACTAAGATTACCCAAAGATATGTGTGACAGTTTGGTTGCATCATTAAAAATTTCAATATATGCTACATCACCCATAATTGTGCCCCCAATAACTTATAAATGTTTCCTACATTATTACTTGCCCTCATCACTATCATTGCACCCTTGTTAACCCTCATGATGTCTTTATATACATCTGACCAAAATGAATAACAATTCGCTTGAAGATTCCCTACAGAAATTAAATTCTTCCTTAATTTTGGAACATAACGCACCTCACTTAACATGCGCACGCCACTATGGGTGCAAATTAATTTTTAATTTCCATTTTCCAATGATGGTACAAGTTTTATCATCACGTAAATAGACAAAACTAAAATCACCTGATTTAAAAGAGTTTAACCTCTCTTACTATGACATCATATGGTATGAGCACCCATAACCAATGACCCTTGCATCAGTGCACTTTGCAGATGAAACACAAAGGAAATTTTTTTCACTACAGAAACCATGAGACTGAACTACATTTGTTGAACTAATGCTGCTTGACTTGGTTGGACACTCCCTCTTCTAATGACCAATTTTCTTGCAACCATATCATTCAATTGTTTTTCTTTCCTTGGACTTGAACCTCTTTTTCTTTCTATAACTCATTGTCTTACCCTTGCCTCTCCCATGATCTTGAACTTCCTATGCAAACAAACCTTCAACTGAACTTCCTACACCTTCCTTTATAGTTTGTTGACGTTGTGTGTGTTGCAAAAGGGTAAAAGAAATAGAATCCATCACGATTGTTTCCTTCCCGTATGTGAGAGGGATCACCAAGTGATCATAAGAGCTTGTTAAAAAGCACAATAAAATAATGGTTTATCCTCATCGTCAACCTTCACACCCGATTGTGTCAAATCATCGAGGATGTTGTTGAAAGCGTTGATATGAGCTTACAAATCGCCTTCTTCATGCATCTTCAAGCTATAGAGAAGCTGCTTCGTGAACAATTTGTTCATGATCGTCTATGACATGCACTAATTTTTCTATTTATCCAAGACATCCTTCGGAGTTGTGAGGTCTTGGATATGATTCATCACATCATCAAAAACACAAAGTCTTATCAAACATGTCGGCTTCTCCTTCATCTCGTTCCAATCAATAGTTGTGATGTTCGTCGGTTTTTCATTATGAAACACCTTTTGTAAACCTTGTTGAGCCAACAGATCCTTAATCTACCTTTGCCATAAATCAAAATTGCCCTTTCCATCAAATCTAGTCACTTCGAATTTTGCACTTCCAGGATTAAACGTGATCTCATACCAATTGTTGGATCAGAAATACAAATACAAATCAGAATAGAGAGAAACACCCAAAAACTGTATTAACGCAGTTCGACCAAATTGTCTACGTCTTCGACTATAAAATAGCTGTAGTTTTATCATACTAATTTGTTATGAACTCCTCAAATTAAAATTTCAATATTACAAACATATATAAAAATATTAATGATCCAAATTACAATTAGTCAAACTCAACAAACCCTAATTTTACATTAACCAACCTTGTTAATGTTTTTCTCTAACTCAGATTCTCGATGTAAAATTTCAAATGATATGCATGGACCTCTTTTTGCTTTTCATTAAAATAAATAATGTGATGATATGACAAACTAAACTATATGTTCTAGAAACACACCAACAAACTCCGTCGTAAAAATTCTAAAGTAGAAAATGATTAAAAATAAAGGATAAGTTTAACTATTGATGCAACAAGACATTATGGGTAGAGTAGGGCTCACACTTGGCTCCGGTTTTTAAAACATTTATATATAGGACCACAACTTTGTATCCCTTCTTTCAAGAAATCATTCAAAGAGAAGATAGAAACCATGGAAGCAACACATCCTCTTTCAATTGAAAGTTTTTCATATAGTTGCTTAGTGAACCTTAAACCATCCCTTGATCAAAGCCTTGATAGTTCTTCTTCTTTTAGAATTTCTGTTGATACTTCTGACGAATTAGGTTCATCTTTCATTGAAATGGATCCAAGAATGCCATCTTCTAGAAGATTCTTTATAAACTCACAAGATCTCAAATTTGATTTTCCAATTTCACAACAATCTTCTCTCACTATTCTTGTTGACGCTGATCAACTCTTTTCCAATGGTTACTTAATGCCATTTGGTAATGACTCATCAAATTTAAATTCAACCATACCTTCTTCTTCCATATCACATGACCCAAAAAAAGAGATTCCTATAGAAAATTCTAGAACTCCTTCATTGAAAAGGTGTGGAACATTATCAAGGAGATTGTTTCAAAAGTACTTGAATATTTTGAAGTCTTTGTGTAGAATATTGAGGGGTCAAAAATCAGGATCAAAGCATGAAAATGGTGTTAAAAGAACTCAATCAATGAAGAATATTAGAGGAAATTACTGTGAATCATCTCCAAGAATTAGTGTTACTTATTCCACGGACGATTGGCGCATGTCTTGTGATTCTGATAGTTCAATTTATGAAGCTGTTCTTCATTGCAAAAGATCTTTTGGTATGTTCAAATTTCATGTTTAAGTTAATTGAGTTATTTACATATTTTTTAGACTAATAGTAATTTTCACTATTTATTGCAGAAAGAATGAGTTAAGGATGCTGAAGTGCAAATCATTGTTTTGTAAAGGCCAATGAATTATTTATAGGAAATAAGTTGCCATCAAATATGGGAAAAGGAAAATTATAGTACACAATTTTGGCTGTTAATATTGTTAGTATGCTATTTTTTTTATAATATATGAGAATCAGCCCTACAACATCTGTGAAAGTTGTTCAACTAATTTTGGATTTGAAAATGTGTGTTAAAGATGAAATTAATAAATAATTATGTATAAATGTCATAAGTAGTGATAAAGACAACGTAATTATTGTCTCTCAAACAATATCACATGTATATAAGTTTAAATGTAACTAGTGACAGACACAAGGATACGTTTAGCTCCACTTGGATGAGAATATTTTCTTCACCACGACTTTTTGCTTGGTGTAGGTTTAAAATCTACATTATCATTGCGTTATTTTTATGAGAAAATCCGGATCAAATCGGAAGATTAGCGAGCAAAAGCCATGTTAAATCATGAAGAATTGAGTAAAAATCTATCACAAAGAAGAAATAAAGACTCAAAGAAAATTTTGAAGAAAAAGTGAAGAAAACAAAACTTTTGGCTATAAGATTTTCCACGTGTGCGATAGATCTCATTGTGGCGCGATGAGGCTTGCATAGAGTTATTTCTCACATGCACGTGGTGCATCTTGTTAGACGATAGCGTATATCTAGAGGAGGGTGAATAGAGGAGCAAAAAATATTTCTAGACATAAATTTAGAAATTAATTGTTTTAAATTTTTTTTGATGCGAAAGCAATTAATTCGATAAATCGTCTAAAAACCACTTATTAGAAACTCGAATATACAAATTATGACAGGTAGATCTATGAGACAAAATTGAGTAATTGATTAATATAAACTCAAATCAATAATCCACTTATTTATGTTTGAGCACAATCACTTTACAATGTTATTTCCAAGGCTAAATAATCAAAGAACTAGATCGTTTTATCAAACACTTGGCATATAAGTGAATTTTCAGAATTTCTCTTTGAGTAATGTTGATATACAAAACCACTTATAATCAAAATTGATTATAAGCTATATCCATAGCTATTTCAAAAACAGATTTTGAGAGAAAAATTCTTACAATTCAATTACTATGACAATGCTATTTGATAAAAAGATTGATGAAATTAAAAGCAAGTAAAAACGGAAAAGTAAAAACACACAAGAAATTTGTCTACATAGTTTCCCACTGTTGTCCTCGTGTGTGGGTACGTCTGCGCCTAATTCTAATGGAACTGAGATAATTTTTTATATGCAAAATGTTTAATACAATAGAAGAGTTAGAAACAACATTACAAAATTCTCCAATTTGGTGTTGATACTCCTTCTTTCAACCTTTGATCTTAAACAAGATCAAATCAACTGATAGATGCAACCTATTTTCCGCTTAAGCTACTTCCTTAAAAGGATTTCAAACATCCCAAGGTTCCTTGCAAAGGTTTCAAACACTCTAAGGGATTTTTCGCTCGAGTAAATCCGATTGCAAACTATCAACACAAGATCACCAATTTTATCATCTAATTCTTGCTACTTCCTTAAAAATATTTCAACCACTCTAAGGTTCCTCGAAAATATTTCAAACACTCCAAGAGATTTTTCACATGGACGATTCCTTCTCACGCGATCTTGTACGAAAATATCCAATTCAACAAATGATGTTGAAAGACAAATCCGGTGGTTTTTCCGGATGAAGACCCCTAGCAAAATCTCAATCCAAATAATAATTGGAAATTCAAAATTCTTCGTCTATATGGCACCTCGGCGGAACATCATCACAATGTAATGTTGGTGTGTATGGATAAATTGGAATTCTGAAGAAGTAGAGAGAAAATAAGTTAATTTTATGCTATCATCAAGTTAGAAATGATGCATGAATGGGTATTAATAGTTTGAAAAAGTTTAGGGAAAAAAGAACAAATTTAGAATAAAAGAAAAAGAAAGTTTGACCAAAACAAAATTTACGTGTCTACCTCAAACTCGTATGTCTCGACACATACTGCATAAAAAAGTTGCATGTATCGACCTGAAGGACTATATGTGTCAACCTGAGTAAGTCAGTAGCTACAAGCTTTAAAATGTGAGTAGATGTGTCGACCTGAAATATGGATGTGTCAATACATAAAATAATAATTTCTTCAATTTCAGAGTTCTTTCAGTATGTGTCGACTTGTATGATGCATGTGTCAACCTGTGACTTACATAAGCTCACAGACTTTAAAACACAGTTACCTGTATCAACCTGAAACCCAGATGTGTCGACACATGCCAGATAAAAATGTGCAGAAAATGTTTTTCAATGAGCTTGGTCAATTTCAAAGTGCTTTTTGATGATTCCTAAGACCTATGATGTCGAGGAGTGCCACAAGACAAAGAGATCCAATTAATTTTACCGCCGTGACATCTTTCCCAGTTTTGACATCATGCAAACTACTGTATATTCAAGTTGTACTCACAAACTCCCCTTTTTTGATGATGGAAAAACTTTAGACGATGCATTACAAAGGCTCCCCTGCCTTTATGCTTCCTATCTTCATCTCGCATATGCTTCTCCCCCTTTGACAAAATAAAAAATAAGAAGGAAAACGATTAGAAGTACCAAAGTTTCCAAAATAATTAACAAATACCAAACAGAGGTAAATTTTGCATATAAAAGCAACAATTACATATCCCCATATACATGTAATGATTCAAACTTTTAAATAACGAGTAACACACATCACAACAAATGTAATGTAATGCAAAAGTAATGAAAGTTAATTTGAGCGTCATGTTTTTGTAACATTTTATAATGGAACTCTTGATGTTGCACACGCATGTGCCAACCATAGCAACAATATAATATCACTACTAAAAGCAAAATTAAAATGTTTATTAAACAAGATAACTATGACAATATGAACAATACATTGCAAAAAAAGGGAAATAACCACAACACAAGCTTGCATATTGAGAACAAATCTATACAAATATGAAATAATTAATACATGAAGTCATTGTAGGCATATAGAACAAGAACACACAATGGTTGTTGATCAAATTTTTTTAGAAATGAACATTCAAAGTTTTCATCATTTGAAAGTATATGAAGCATTTTTGAAAGAAACCTAGGAATATGCATTACGACAAAACTTGTGTTCAAGGAGAAATTGAAACGATATTACCTTACTCTTGAAGGATTGGAACTTGTACTCATAAAACATAACACACTAAAACACATAGTTAGAGTGAGTGTTCAACGTGCAATATACGAGATATAACTGGGTGACATTTGAGATATCAATGATCCCTAATTCTCCGTGTATGTTGGGAAAAGATTCGGTTGCGAGTGGTTTAGTGAAAATATCGGAAAGTTGAGTTTTACTATCAACATGCTCAAACGCAACATCCCATTTTCCAATATCATCACGAAGAAAGTGGGGACGTATCTCAATGTGTTTAGTCATTGAATGTAGCACCGAATTTTTGGTTAGATTTATGGCACTAGTGTTATCGCACATGATAGGAATACGTGATAGTTTAATATCAAAGTCCAATGGTTGTTGTTTGAGCCACAAAATTTGAGCACAACAACTACCACCTTCCATGTATTCCGCCTTGGTAGTTGACAAAGATACGAAAACTTTCTTTTTACTATACCAACTAACCAAGGATTTTGCAAATAAGTGACAAGTTTCACTAGTACTTTTCCTATCCAATTTGCAACCAGAAAAATCAGAATTGGAGTAACCAACCAAATTACACTCATCTCCCTTAGAATACCAAAGCCCAAATTTTGATGTACCAATAAGGTATATAAAGATCTGTTTTAAGAATTTTAAATGAGATTCCTTGGGAAGCGCTTGATATCGTGCACACATATAAACAATAAACATAATATCAGGATGAGATGTTATAAGATAGAGAAGAGAGCCAATCATACCTCTATACCTTTTTCCCCCAACGTCCTTACATTTCTCATCCTTGTCTAGATTACCGTTTGTTGCCATGGGAGTGTCAATTTCCTTAGAACTATCCATTCTGAATCTCATAAGTAATTCGAGACAATACTTGGTTTGACATACAAATTTCCTTCATCGAGTTGTTTAGTTTATAGCCCGAGAAAGTAATTCAAATCCCCCATTAGGCTCATCTTAAACTCTCCATGCATAAGCTTAGAGAACTTCTTGACAAGATGCATATTAGTAGATCCAAAAATGATATCATCTACATAAATATGAACTAATAAAATATGATTTCCTTGATATTTAATAAAGAGAGTAGTGTCAACTTCCTCTCTAGAGTATCCTTGTTTAAGCAAAAATTTTCCCAGTCTATCATACCATGCCCTAAGGGCTTGTTTAAGAACGTACAATACACATTTAAGCTTGAAAACATGATTAGGAAACTCATCATTTTCAAATCCGGGAGGTTGAGAAACATACACCTCTTCACTTATGTATATGTTAAAGAATGTACTTTTTACGTCCATTTGAAATAATTTGAAGTTCTTAGAACAAGCATAAGCTCATAAAAGGTGTATAGCCTCAAGTCGGGAAAACAGAGCATAAGTATCCTCATAGTCAATGCCCTCCTCTTAGTTATACCCTTGAACCATAAGATAATTCTTATTTCTTGTTATTGCACCATGTTCGTGTAGCTTATTCCTAAATACCCATCGAGTACCTATGATTTGATGATTTGTAGGACGAGGGACAAGATCCCAAACGTTATTTCTTTCAATTTGGTTTAATTCTTCTTGAATGGAAATAAGCCAATGCTCTTCAATTAAGGCATCATTAGTGTTTTTAGGTTCAACTTGTGATACACAAGCATGACAACAACAAAGACTACTTATTTTAGAGCGAGTTATTACCCCCTTTTTGATATCACCTATAATATTGTCAAGAGGATGATCTTTGGATGTTATCCACTCTAAAGTAATACCATCATTTTCTTGATGACCTTTATGATCTTTCTTTTCTTGGGTGCTATCTCCATCC